ATTTTATAAAGTCATACACTTAAGAATAAAAACAATTATAGGTTGAAATGCAAGCAAATAATAGAGAAGAGATCCTTGTAACATATACCAAGGACAAAATATGATATTTCTTATAGGTTGGCAATGGTTGCCATGGTTTTAATACCACGAAGGGATTTTAAATTTACTCTCTTAGTGTTTTAATCTTATCCTATCTTTTTAAAAAGCATATTTCTATATAACTGATCATCAATTTTTAAAGGCCTTGGTGTGACCCTAATTTTCACATTTCAAAAAATTCAATTTCAATTCTTTAAATAGTGCGTTGCTATGGAAATAAGGTGAAAAAACATGCATAAAAATATGAAAAACACTCTGTTTCCTTGGATACGTACCCTTGTATGTAGATTCCCAAAACTTTAATGATTGATATATGTGAACAACTCACCTGACTTTCAATTTTGACTATCACCCAATCTCTAACTGGATGCAAAAGACTGGCACATAGGGTCTAATATTGACAAAAACTTAACAAAATCGAACATTTTCTCTTCTTGGTAACCATAGCAACAGTGTTGTATTTTTTAACAACCTTTATCAATATATGATATTCAACTTTAGTTCTACGAGATAAGTACTATTAAAGGTGATTCAAATAATATTTTTCTTGATTAAAAGGTTAGTAAATTCCTAAAACAGCAAAAAAATATCACTTTAAACAACTAGTACGTTGTTTCCATGGTTACACTGCAAAGTAACAATTAATCTCAATTTTTCTTATGTTGTCGGTGTTGCAAGGTCCTAAGGATGCATATTTGCCAGTCATGAATTTTATTGTTTTTCCTCACGATAGTAGCATTAACCCAATCATAGCAACAGATTTTGCATGGTGACACTGTGTTACCATGGCAAACATGAAAGTTATTTTTAGAATAATATTGCCAATACCTAATTACATGAGGTCAAGTATTTTTCGTTGTTTTTCTTACGTTGTTGATTGAGTTTGATCATGTAACATCTATCATTTGTGACTATAGAACGTTTTTCAGCATTTTTCAGCATCTAAAATGTATTCTAAATGTACCCATGGTTACCACTTACTTAGAGATAAATTCTAACTAGTTTCTTTATAGCATAAGTGGCAACAAGGTGTCATGTTTTTGGGAGAACGGTTTGTTTGTTTTTCTTAGTGTTTATTAAGGTATTCAATGTATAACGAAGGGATTTTGAACAATTTTGAATCGTTTTAAACTAGTTAAAAATACATTGCTAGATAATGATGAGAGTGAAATAAACCAAATTCACATGATTGATAATAAATAAGAAACTGATCATTTTGCACCTGAAAAGTTTTTGAAGAGTTATCTGCCCTTGAAGAAAAGAAGAAAATTTTAATTTTGTCAAAATATCCGTGGTAAATGATTCATTTTATTTCATATTTTATTAAAAAAAGAGTCTATGCATATTTTCACCAAGAGATTTGTATCAAATTCACATTACTTTTTAGAATATTTTGATAAAATATGCGCTGCCCATAGACGTCAATGTAAAATTTAAGGTGCAATAAATTGGATAATAATTAAAATTTTGTAAATTCCTGTGGTGGAGCATGTTTATTTCATAACACCTTAAAAATGCTACCATGATTAATCATTTCGGACCATTCATTTATTAGGTACAAAATATGGTCGTTATACATTGAATACCTTAAGGCTTAATAAAGATTTAAAGTAGCTGAAAATCTCAATTTTTTCAACTTTTCTGGCTGTTGCCATGGCAACCAAGACACATAGCAACGAAATTTTATTTGATATATGTTTCTGGTGTCAAGTTGTAATAATGGGCAAAGTTTCATTAAAATCGGTGACCATGCGTGGCAAAGAAGTTTAAGTGGTTACAGAGAATCGCTACTAAGATGCATAAAATGGAAATTGTTGCATGAATAGTTTTCAATTTCAAGCTTCATGTTGAGACTTTTTAAATTAAATAATAATTTTAAGAGTTATCCTTCATGGCTGAGGATTGCATATCCTTAAAACACATTACGTCTGCTATTTTCAAGGATTGACTGATTATAAATTACTTTTTTCCCAATCTATTTCTAAAGCTGAAAGAAACTTTTTAACCTGAGTTTCCGATAACGCACACCCGTAAAAACCGAATTATCCGGCAACATCAACCTTGTTGACGATAACATGTTTTAACCTAACGAGACATTTTAGATGCCTGTTAACTAACCCTTCATTTGGTTTTTGATCTGAGTCTGCTTATCTTCAGGTATAAGATTGTCCATAGAATAAATAAACCGTTTTGTTTTATAGAATAATCTGATTTTGACTTCTACAAAAGCTAAAATGTGTTAAAATATTCCGAAATTTTAATAAAATATCATTTGAAAAAGCTGTATATCTTTAGAAAGAGAGTGATTTGGTTTGTTCTTTTTGCTGCTGAAAGTATAATCATTTATCTGCCTAAGATCACAAACTTTGTTTGCTGAAGTACGCAATTATCGTTGAATTAAGAAATTTAAAATCACCTGTGTTTTCTAAACTTTGCTTTCCTTGCACCGAATGCCCGATAACAACCGAATAGCCGATAACGCGTTGAGCAGTGTGTTAATTGTCATTCCGAAGAAGAACCTCATGGTACATATACTTCCTTTTTATTTCTCAGTGTATATGATGTCAAATTCAATTGAATATCTGAAATTCTACATTAGACACAATGTTCATATACTTCAGTTCTGCAGAAGCTTACCACTGATCCTGTATTTTTTTTCTTTAGTTTGTCATCTGGACTGGCACCCAAATAATTCACCAAGCAAGCTATTCATCGTCTCGACACCCATAGGTCGATCGCTCCTTCGTCTCTTGTGGAAATATGTCTCTGATGAAACGCATAGAGTAGTGTTACATTCAGTTTATAAGAAATTCAGATGGAAACAATAAACAAGAGGCCCATGGGCCTTATAGGTCACATGAGTATCATGCAACAACTTTGCCACAATTAAATTGGGTTCACGTTTTAAACCAGAGGCCATGAAATTCACAATTTCGAAAGAGGCACACTTGCTCATCATAACTTAACATTTAGTAAGCTTACTTAATACTCAGAAAGAGATCAGAGGATTATCAAAGAATTAATGTATTTTCACTATGTAATCATTAGAGCCCTGCCCTAACACCAGAACCCTGACCAGGGGCCATAAAATTCACAATTTTGGAAGAGGCACCCTTATATATCATAACTATACTCTTAGTTCATCGGCTTTATATCAAGGAGAAAAGGAAAAGATTTTCAAAGAATTATTGCATCTTTACTATATAATTATTAGAGCCCCACCCTAACACCAGAACCCCTGACCCAGGGGCCATGAAATTCACAATAAATGAAAGAGGCACCCTAACTCATCATAACTATGCATGCATTCAGTTTGTTTGTCCTGGATCAGAGAAGAGTTTTAAAGAAATAATGCATTTTCACTATACATTCATCAGAGCCCTACCCTAACACCAGAGGCACCTTTCATCATCAGAACTATGTATTTATTTTGTTTGCATAATATCCAGGAGCAGAGAAGAAGCTTTTCCAAAAAAAAAAAAAAAAAAAAAAAAAAAAAAAGCATTATCACTATACATGTATATTCAACAGAGCCCTGCCCTAGCACCAGAATCCCTGACCCTGGGGCCATGAATTTCACAATTTAGGTAGAGGACTCAATGCTTATTACATTCATGCCAACAGTTTGCCTGCTTGATGTAAAGGAGTAAAGAAGATTTTTAAAGATTGCATTAATTTTGATGGTTTTAGCCCCACCCCTCAGTCCCCAGGGGGGTAGGGGTCATGAATTTCACAATTTTTACTCCCCTTCACACATAGATATTATATGCCAAATTTGGTTGAAATAGGTTCAGTGGTTCCAGAGAAAAAGCTGAAAATGTTCAAATGTTAACGCACGACGCACGCCGAGGAACAAAAACAGATAGCAATAGTTCACCTGAGTAAACTCAGGTGACCTAAAAAACAATATTATACTGTCTTTGTATTTTTGTTTTTAGCAGGGCTCACTGCTCGTAGAGCAATAGCCGACTTATGTTACGGTGTTCAACCGGAAATGCTGCTTCCTCACCGCCAAATCAAATTTACGAGTAAGAATGTAGTACGTGTGCTCAACAACCTTTGAGTAATACAAACTCTAAATTAAACATTAAAATTTAAGAAATTCTCTAAACAGAAACAAAAAAAACCACATTAATGGTAATATACTTTCTCCCCTCTTCTTCAATTAATTATTTGTTTAAAATATGCGAAAGGTTTTCATCAGGTCACATTCTATAGATAAAGGTTGTATACCAGGCTAACACTAGGGGAGCACGTGACCCGACCCCATGACCCGATATTCACCTTTATGCATTGCAAAACTCCCCGCCGAGGACCCGTCTACAGGTGCATAAACGTTTGACCTTGCTGCATCAATGTTTATTTACTTCTGTAAGTGGTATAAGACCCCGCAACGATGCATGTGATAAAATTGTTTACGTTGTTAAATTCAAACTGCATTTTATTTAATTTTCTAAACATTTTTTTTAATTTATAAATACTATGTGCCATAAATATATTTTTGTGTTACATACACTGTATTCTTCCAGTGTCTTGTTATTCATCTGTTATTACAATGTATGTTTCATGTAAAACGGTCTTGTTCACTTCTCTGTAAATGAGACCGGCTCTCTGTACTTCTGAGTACTTTGATTCTAAAAGTATGCATGTTTACTTATTCGAAGTAAATATGATCAAATTAACAGAAAATTGAATGCATCCTCTTGAAACCGGAAGTTGATTTTACTGGGAAAGAGGTTTATTGTAAAGATTCATACGCTAAAAAGGTTATTATTTGATAACATGACGTTTTTATTTTTAGTTATGTTAAAGATTATTTTCTGTTTTTGTTTTAGTAACTGATTCATATTTCGTAATTATTTAGTAAGTTTAAGTTGAGCAAGGGGATAAATTTCAACTTGTAAAAAACGGAAGTTGGAAGGACACTAACATTGTGGCTGTGTTGTTAGACCTTGTAAGTTGACATATTTCAGGTGCCCGGACAAGTAAGATTGAATGCAAAAATTGATTTGTTTACACGTTTTACTTGATAAGAAATGCTTCTCTGATATATTCACATGTGCCTAACTATTCCAGATTCGTTTGAAATCACATAATACCAAGGACGTTTGAAATGGCGCGGTTGGTAGCCGTGTGCAGAGCAGATGACTACCAATTTGATAGAAGACAGCTACCGCTAGTCGTTGATGACAACTTAAAGGTTTGTGCTTTTACAGTTTGAATATTTCTTATACGTATTTTTATCCTGTTCAAAGTCTAATCATCAGATTTTAATGTATTTTTTGAAATTTTGAAATTCTCAGACTTGGCATTTAATATGTAACATCAACATGATCAACATGTGGAATCACATTAATTGTTTAGTTTACCATTGCATAAACATATGTTTTAACACTGACGGTTAATTTGATGCAACAGAAGTTAAACAACTTTACCAATATTCCAAATATTCTTATTTCCATGTGCAAAGAATGTTGATTGCAAAATGTGTTGAAAATATACTTAGCAGTAGCAATAGTAATAATAATTATCCTTCAGAATAATACAATCAATCTGACTGGTTTAGAGTCACATTCAGGGAGACATTTTGTGATGTCTACCTTATGCAAAAGGGTGACAACTGTGTTGTCTCCCTTCAGATGTCAATAAATTAGTGCAAGCAAGCTAGCAGAGTGACAGGTGTATTGTCTCCCTTTAGATGAAAATAAAATGTTGTAAACGAAATAACTCATATAATCATATAATTGATATTTGTAGGATTGGTAAACAATAAATTTCTAACAGTGACGTCAAAGTTATTAGTTGACACATTTTGAAATATGGTTATCAGAGCAGTGGGTACATGAACACTAGAGGTTTAACTGATATTTTCTCTATTTTCTTAACTTTAGATTCTTCAGGATTATAAAACTATTATGAACTGTTTAGAAGGGAGACATCACAAAATATCAGGTCTCAGACCTGATAATTTGTGATGTCTCCCTTCTAAACAGTCCATAATTGTATATTACAGTGCTTTCTTTTAAGAGGATAATTCAATCAATGCAAGGTTAACATGTTAAAAAGTGTGACTGTTAAGATGAGTATAGTTATGCATTTTTTACTGGATACCATAAAAAAAATAGCCTACACTTTTAACTTGCAGGGTTTGACACTAACATTTTTAGGGTTTAATCTGGCCAGACTAGTGCCTCTTTACTTTTACTAGTCCGCGTGCGATTTTATGAGTCTGTCAACAAAAAAATCAATGTTTTTTAATGGTTTAATTAAAAATAAACATTGCAATGTACTTTTTTCTTGAAATAAACAAAGCATTTACGTGAAATGTTTTATTCCAAGATTCATTGAAATCTTGCGATCAGGAACTATGATTGTATTCCCAATCTCGTTCGTTTTTCTCTGTGTACATTACGTCCAAACATCCGACATCTTTCTTTATGTGTCATACTAAATCATGATCACTAAAATGTTTAATTTCATTATTTCATACCAATCTCAGTCCTAAAATTACCGCCGAATTGACTCGGAATTACCTAACTTCCCGCTAAGAAGCTAAAAATACATGCAGGGTTTTCCAGTGAAAGTTGTGGAGAATCGAACATCAGTAACTTATTGATTTTTTTCCAGAAATTTTTTTAGTCCATTTGGACTAATAAATTAGCCACAGATTTCATTAATCCGAATGAAAATGTATTAGTCTGAGACTAATGGACTAATGTTAATGTCGAACCCTGACTTGAGTTACTGTTTACAATAATTTTTGGAGTTTCTTTATGAAAACCCAGGAGGCATCTGTTGATATATTGAAATGTCTAGAGCAACTTTATTAAAAACATATGTTGTGCTGCTGCTGATAGTAATGAAAGCTCCTCTTTTATTCTCAAGACTATGACTGCTGATTACTTAAGTATAGCATTTGTATGCAAAACTGAAAGTATTGTTTTATGTGGTGTGCTTAAAACCTAACAATAAACAATGTTGAAACTTTTCTAAGCCATTGAAATGTTTTGGTTGGATATTTATTATTCCTTACATTACCCCCCCCCCCCCCCCAAAAAAAAAGAAAAAAAAAGAAAAGATAAAACAAAAATTAACTAATGATATATCATAGAAAAAAATATTTTGATTTTTGATGGAGAACAACTATTTTGTTTGGAATATCTATTTTAGGATTAATTGTGCACAAGTTAAGTAGTTTTTTTTTTCTCTTGAGAAAAGGTAGAGAAACAGTTTTATGTCTGAAAAATTTGATGCCTTGACTTACATTTAACAATACTATTGAAATAATGCACAATAAATACTTGCAGATAAACCAATGTAGTTAAACTACAAGTAGCTGCACTAGTTGATAATCAACAATATTTTTTGTTTCAGATGGTTGTACAGTTCAGTGACAATTGTGTTGACTGTGAAAATGTTCGAGGAATTAAGAGAAAAGAACTGGAACATTTTGTTCAGCGATTTAGCATGCTGTCCAAGGATGAGGTAGCTGTACAGATGATGGTTACGAGTCAAGACATCATGAACATGTTAGCACACATGGTGCCCTGTGTGGGTTGTAGAAGAAGGTTTGTTATTTAAAAGAAACTACTTTAATGTACTTATCTGTCGTATCAAGTATAAAGGTGCAAATCAATTTTATCTTAGTCAGACTAGTTTGTGTTTTAGTAGTTAAAGATGAAAATTGTGCCACAGCAGCATTAAAATGCTTTGAAAAGTATCTATTCTGATTCAAGTTGAGACATTTTATAAGATTTCCTGCTAAGCATTTGATAAATTTTATTTTTCCTGTTCCTATATAAAATAACTAAAAAGAATAGACAATGCAATACAGATTTGTTTATCTGTGTAAGGGTAAGATATATTCAGATTTCTCTAATTCTGAACTGTATATAACATTGTGACACTCGTATATATGTGATTTTTTTTTCTTTGCCAGTGTGGAAAGGTTATTTAGCCAACTAGTGGAAGGTCAACATTCAGCATTAGAACCTCTCATCATTACAAGGAAAGGGGTTCTGTCTGTTAACAGAGAGTTTCTGTTTGATCCCAAGGCATTATATGCATTATTTTATATTCATGGGTAAGACACAATTTCCATTAAGGAAGAAAACATGTAATGTATTTAAATATGAATTTATGTAGATCAATACAAAGGTAGGAAATTGGGAAGTCGTATAGATAAAAAAAATACTTCCACAATATCAGGTACAAGTATATTGTTAGTAATAACTATATTACCTTAAATATTCCATTAATAATTTTCAAGGAAATGAAATATATATATAGATGAATTTTGCATTTACAATATTCTTCTAAGTGAAATACCCATTTATCTCATTATATCATTTGTAAATTACCTGTAAAAATTTTAAATATGTAAACATCTTTTTACAATTTTATACTATATCTTTATTGGCAAAGTATGGGGCAACAAAGAAAATATGTTAAGCATACACACATACATTTTATTTATCAGATACTGCATTGTAAAGTTGGTAATGTTATAGAGGGAAAACATCACCAGACACTGGTTGACCAAAGATTGACCTCAGAAAGAGAAATAACTCTTGTAAATGTGAAAGTTGTCTATAGCAAATGTATATCTTTAATTTTAGTGCAAAGCTTAATTCCATGATGGATTCCATTCCCAAGAGCAAGAAAAATAAGCGTTGTAATCTCCACTCTTTGGAAACCCACAAGAATCGAACAACGGGGTAATTTTTTATTCTGAACTTCATGATTTTTCTGACATTTTAGCCAAAGGCTCAATTGAGCTATTCCTGATTGAAGACTATTCAGCATCTGTCTGTCTGTCATATGTTAACTTTTCACATTTTTGACTTCTTCTCTAGAACCACTAAGCCAAAGACAACCAAATTTGGCAGAAAGCATCCTCGAGTAAAGGGAATTCAAGTTTGTTCAAATGAAGGAGGGATAATTAAGAAAAAGTACAAATTTAAAAATATGAAGAAGAATCACTGGGCCAGAAAAATATGAAACTTACATGAAAGTTTTCTTCCAAAGTGTAGACTCAAGTTTTTCCAAACAAAGCATTTACATGGGGGAGGGATGGGGCCACAATAGGGAATTATAGTGTTATACGGGAATATAAAGCAAAAAATATTTAGAAATTTTCAAGAACAGCAGAGCCATGAGTTGTGATTCCCTGGCATACCCAACAAACTAGACAGTGATTCCTTAAATATAAATCTTTTGAAAAAAAAGTGTCAGTTCAATATTTTAAATTTGGAGATGTTGAAAATTTGTTATGAAAGTTGTAAATTTCTTTGTTTTAAATCTTGAGGGGACACAAAATCAGTTCACTATATCCAAAATTTGTTAAAATTTGTTATATCTGAGTTCATTATATTAACCATAGAATTTTACAAGGAATTTCTTAGAATTTTGCTGGAATTCCAAAAGACTTCACTATGTCCATAAATTTCCTTTATCGCACTTAACAAGTTTTACTGTATTAGTTTTTTTTTTAATGTTTAGGACAAAAGGTATGTTCTAATGTCTTTATGTGTCAAAATAAAAGTTCTTATAACATATGTAAATGGAGGATTTTTATATCTGCAGGAGCTGGATTGACATCTGGGATTTATTAGCTCAGGAATGTCGAGAGGAGGTTGTTTTAGTGGATGCTGAGAGCTTATTGGAGACTTTGGAAAACTACCTGAGAAAACATAGGTAAATTCTGATAATAATGACAAAGAAAAAGTTAAAATTGTTTTTGAAAAAGGCCATGAAGAAGTCAAAAAGGGATAAGATCAAATCAGATATTGGAACTATTTTTCATAATATAAAAAAATTATTGCAAAAATGATAGAATTAAAACTTCAATATTTCAATAAATAATGCCAATTGGGTATGATGGATACACCTCTTGCAGGTTTTGCTCTGAGTGTAAGGCCAAAGTCCTGCGTGCCTACAGTATTTTGGTGGGTGATTTGGACTGTAACACTGAGAAGGGATACTGTGCAGTGTTGTATGAAGGACTGCGATGCTGTCCCCAGGAGAGGCACATCCATATGCAGTGTGATACCGATTTTATTGCTCATCTCATCGGCAGAGCCGAGCCAGAACTAGCAGGAGGGTGAGTTAAATGAAAATAAATCTTTGCAGTTTTCAGAAAGAGTTTTATATACATGTATATTACTATCCGCTGCTAGGTATTCAAGACTTGTAATCAGATGTAAATTAATTTGGTAATAATTAGGGTTGGATACCGTTAAGGATGAAACGGTACGATACCATACCGGTATTTTTGAAACGATACGGTATTTTTAACAATACGGTACTATACCTTTAAGAATGAAAATGAAGGTTCATTTTATAACAAAAGTGCTTTCACCAATCACCGACCTTTCAATGTTATAAGGTAAAATGAGCTTATAAACTATGTTTAAATTTCAACCTTTTAATAAATGATCAGCAAAAGAAATAAATTGAATCTCAAACATCGCCGTTTGATTTTCTGCTAAAATGGGAGCAGACGGCTGACCGCTTCACCGGTTGTCAGGAACCATTTTGCTTGATCGCACTAAACAACGAAACATTAGAAAAAGGATAGATATGCACATCACATTTTTGCGACATTTTGCCTTTTTAATTTAAATTTATTATCAGTTTTTATCAATAAAATTAAAACACGATTAATGTGGATGTACTTTAATTTTTTTAAAAATATACATATTGATTTACCTCGAATATCGGCAGTCGAAAGCAAGTATCGTACTAAGCATCCATCTCGTTAATTAGCCTACCCTTTCAATGCGCGAAGAATTCGATTTTAGCGGGTCTGGAATCGTTTTTTTTTTAAATCATTTGGAATGTATTTAAATGTTTCAAAGATTTAAAAATACCGTTATTAGACCGGTATTAAATGAAACGGTATTTTACCGGTATTTTTGAAGAAACTATTCGGTACGGTATTGGTACCGAGTACCGGTGTCCAACCCTAGTAATAATCAGATTTTATATTACTTTAGAATTAATTTTTATGCCCCAAGAATTGAAGATTCAGGGCAAATAGTTTTTGTTGGTCAGTCTGTCTGTTTCTGGTTTTTAGCTCACCTGAGCCGAAGGCTCAAGTGAGCTTTTCTGATCAAAATTTGTCCGTTGTCTGTCGCCGGCGTCGGCGTTGTTGTCGTTGTAAACTTTTCACAATTTCATCTTCTTCTCCAGAACCACTGTGCCAATTTCAACCAAACTTGGCACAGAGTATCCTTGGGTGAAGGGGATTCAAGTTTGTTCAAATGAAGGGCCACGCCTTCTTCCAAGGGGAGATAATCATGAATTCATGAAAAATTAATGGCATCATTTAAAAATCTTCTTCTCAAGAACCACTGTGCTTGAAAATATGAAACTTATATGGAAGCATCCTCAGGTAGTGTAGATTCAACTTTGTTCAAATCATGACCCCCGGGGGAAGGGTGGGGCCACAATGGGCGATCAAAGTTTTACATAGGAATATATAGGAAAACTCTTTAAAAATCTTCTTCTCAAGAACAGCAAAGCCATGATTGGTTTTTTTTTATGGGTGCATCCTCAGGTTGTGTAGATTCAAGTTTGTTTAAATCATGACCTCCCAGGGGTAGGGTAGGGCGGGGCCACAATGGGTGATCAAAGTTTTACATAGGAATACATAGGAAAAAGCAAGCCTTTTAAAATCTTCTTCTGAAGAACAGCAAAGCAATAATTAGTCATATTTAAATGCAAGCATCCTCAGGTAATGTAGATTCAAATTTTGTTCAAATCATGACCCCCCAGGAGAATAGAGGGGCCATTACAGGGGATCATAGTTATACAACGGAATACAAATGATATATCAATAAAAATTGTCTTCCTAAGAACAGCATAGCCATTATTTGCCATATTAATTCAAAAGCATCCCTTTGAAGTATAGATTCAAGTTCAAATTAACCCCCCCCCCCCCTCCAACCACTTTTATTTATATCAAAACTTTTCAAGACTGAACTGATTTCTGCTTTTTCCTAGCCAGAGTGCTCAGGTGAGCGATGTGGCCCCTGGACCTCTTGTTTGTTTTTTTTTCTTTTTTTTTGCAAAAACTTTAACCTTGCCCATATCTTTTGAATGGATGATGCTAGGGCTTTCATATTTCACATGTGTATTCCATCCTTTGGTATCAACATTTTTGACCTCTTTACCTTGGAGTTTGACTTACAATTTTAAAACATACTTTGTTATTTTTAGTGACCAGTCATATGCCTGATGAAAGTGAACATTTTCACAATAATTTTCAAAAATTTAGAACTGAGTGGTACAATAAGAATTTTATTATTTTAATATAAAATAAGGAATAACAGTTTCTTAAATAGTCATATATTGAAGAAGAGTCACTTCAAAGCATGTCTTTTTAGGAGTAGAAGGGACAGGCATGCGAAGACCCTGGATATAGCTCAGGAGGAGGTCCTGACATGTTTAGGAATCCATATTTACGAGAGACTCCATCGCATCTGGCAGAAACTTAAAGCAGAGGAGCAAACTTGGCAGATCCTGTTTTATCTTGGTGTTGATGCACTGAAGAAAAGTTTTGAGGTAAAATGCGAATTTAAAAATCAAGGAACATTTGCTGTATGTAAACTTATTTTTTCCCCACAAATGAAGTTTGGGGGATATATGGGAATCACCTTGTCTGTCTGTCCATGCAATCTTGTGTGGGCTAAAACTTCGTAAAGGATAACCATTGGAAGCTCATATTTGGTACAAAAATTGTTTATGACCTGAGGGTGTATCATGACCTTGACCGAAGTTCATTACGGCAAGTTCAAGGTCACTGGCAGAAAAATTGACAATTTCTTGTTCGGGCAGTAACTTTTAGAGAATTATTGGGTGCTCATACTCAGTACAAAGATTGTTTATGACCTGAGGATGTACATGACCTTGACCAAAGGTCATGATGATAAATTCAAGGTCACTGGCAGAAATTTTTTTAAAAAATCATGATAGATATATAATTTTCTAATGGAAAAAATTGGATGTCCATATTTCACTCAAAGATTATTTATTAATCAAGGTCATTTTGGCAAGTTCAAGGTCACATTTACAAAATTCCTAGTAGAAACTTAAAATAAATTGCAGCAGGGGATATTATTTTGTGAGTTTGCTCACAGTACCTCTAGTTTAAGATAGATTCCATTTTTTTTTCATATTATTGGTACAGTGGTTACAACATTTACATGTATTTATGAACACTGCCAAACATGATTTTATTATGTTGGAGAACATTAAGTCATATGTGCCACAATGTGGAAGACTCGTTTTTATGAATACTGTTGGAAGAGCTGACTGTAAAAATTGTTTTAGGTAATAAAAACATAAATATATGAAAGTGTTTTGAATTTGTAATACTTAAAAAAAAATATATAAGTATGACTGGAAGTAGCTTTGCAAGTTTAAGTTTCCATTTCTTGCATAACTTGGTGATTTCAGCTTCATATGATTTTTAACCAGATCATGTAGAATATCTTAGAATATCTAAATTTTAAATTTCCAAAACCGATTTCTCATTTTAAACTCTTGGGTTGACCATACAAAAAAATTAATAAACAAATAAATATGTGATTAAACAAATGAATAATTGCAAAATAAATTGGAAAATAAATGATGAACACTAATAAGTTAATCAGTTACTGTAAACCAGCAATTATTCGCATGCAGAAAATATTCGGAAGTTGCACAGTCTCATTTTTACTTCCCTTTAACAATTCTTGCCCTGGACCATTTATTTCAGTTTTATTTGTGTTAATGTGTGTGTGTGTAGAATGACTTCTCAATCTCAAAAAGAATAATTGATGAGAAGGATTTCAAATTGATGAATCACGAATAAAAGATGTTGCAAATATTTGTTGGTTTACGGTACTGACAGGCAATGCATGCATGATGAAATCTGAAATTATTAAATTTTGAATTGGAAGTATATGTTGATAGAAATTTTAGCTACAGTAGATTACAATTTGTCAAAAGATGCTTTTCTGTGATTTTTCAATATATTAAGGAATCTGCATTGCATAGAATTGCTGACTTTTATTTTATGTTCAGCTGTATTTGCATTGAATTTTAAACAGTTTTAGACAAATACAGAGCCTCAGTTGAAGAAGTTATGAAAGAATTTGAAGAAATGCCAGTCAGAGCAGTCTAATGTCTCAGTTTCATTGATATAGTTTGTTGTCCATTTACATGTAGTTTCTTTAAAGTTTTGATGTATATAAAGATGGTTTGGAAGATATCTGAACAATGGTTGGTGAAAAAAGATGGATAACAAATTGAAAATGTTATTGATTTGAAATTGCAGATGGCAATGGAAAGGAAACAAGGAATCTCCAATCTGGAGCTTATCTGTGAGGAGCTTTTAGAAGAAGAGAGAGCAAAGGAACAGAAGAGAGAGCAGAAACGACAAAAAAGAAAGAAGAAGAAGGCCAAGTCATCACAGATTGTGGATCCGACTGAAACACAGAGTGAGGAACCTCCAGCTCTGTGTGAGGTAAAGAAGGATTTTAGTAGATGTACAAAGAAATATTTTACGTCATTCACTCCATTGTGTATCCATGGGTCTTAAAACTAATCCTAAGACATTGAAATATGTATATTTATTCTGACAAAGATATTTTCTCTGAAACATAGTTTTTTTTTTTTTTTTTTTATCTCACTGATAAATGAATTGTTTTAGTTTTTGTAGTTCTAGTACATGTAAGTCATTTAGGGGCACTTGTCCTTTTGATATTAAATATGATGAGAATGATTGCACAATATGTTAGTGCACTTACTGTGATGAGTGCATTATGTACTAGGTAACTTATGGGGAAATGTACTGTATGTATTAAATGCAACGTTCAGATTTATTTAAAAAGTAATGTATGTCAGAATTTAGAAATAAAATGGAACTTTTTTAAAACTTTTCAGTGTGATAAAAACCAGTCCATTAGTAATGATAAAGGGACTCACAAGTCATGCTCAGAGAATTGTGGGGTGTATGGTGATCAAAATTCCAATACTACATTGGCTTCCATGGAGAGTTGTAGAACTGCAGTAACACCAGAGAGACAGATGAAGAATGGCAGTATGAACAGTGATTGTGGGTATTCTTCTGATGTAGAAGGCTGTGAATGTAGTATGCCAAGTTCTAATGAAGGCTCAGATATTCTCTGTGATGGCAGGTGCAGTAGTCATGATGGTAAGATTTCATTGAATCAGCAATTCAACTGCATGGTTCAACTCTTTTTTTTTTTGCATATTTGATCAATAATGAAAAAAAAAAAAATCCAATTAGATTGAAAAATCAACTTGAGATTTACTTAATATTTTTATTCAACTTGATCATACGCATAATCATTAACAATGAATATGTTAATTTGTAGGTGGAGACAGTGTTTGTGAGTCATTGATTGACAGGTGTCACACTTGTTCCAATTCTGTGTGTCATGGTCCTCCAAAGAAACAGGACCATAGTCTTTGTACACATAAACCTAAAGTAAGCAACTGTGTTAAAGAGTAAATTAATATTTCACAATTGTAGAAACAATCTACATCTGTGATTAATTATACCCCTGCTCTGAAGGAGAGGGGGGGTATACTGTTTAACCCTTGTGTGTCTACTTGTATGTGTGTGTCTGTCTGTAACAAATTTTCGTTGCAGTTTTCTTAGCAACTATTCTTTGCAGATGCTTGAAATTTTAGCACACTCATTGTTTTGGCATGCCAAATGGTGGGATTCATTTTTGTCAACTTCCTGTTTATCCCTGTGTCTAAATTTCTGTTGCAGTTTTCTCAGCAACTAGTCAAAGCAGATGCTAATTTTTTTTTTAAATTTTAGCACACTCTTTGTTTTGGCATGCCATATGGTGGATTCATTTTTGTCAACTTCCTGTTTATCCCTGTGTCTGTCCGTACCAAATTTCCATCTCAGTTTTCTCAGCAACTACTTATGGCAGATGCTTGAAATTTTAGCACACTCTTTATTTTGGCATGCAATATGGTGGGAGACATTTTTGTACGAATCTGATGTTAACTTTCTATTTATCCATGTGACTGTCTGTACCAAATTTCCGTCACAAATGAACTTGTGAATATTCACATCAGAGTGGGGGTATTGCTAGTGAGCATTGGCTCACAGACTTCTTGTTTTTCCCCCCCCAAATTACAGCGTATACTCTATAGATGCATGGTTATTTTATAATACATGTACATGTATGTTTCTATCCATTAAAGAAAATCTCATGAATTTTAGTAGACTTGGATTGTTTTTCCTTAATCTTTTATGTAAAGAGAAAGACATTGATTATTAGTATGTCTCAATATTTTGCATGGAAAATATGGTGATTATATTATGCTATTTTTGTAGAATGATTCATCAGCTCTAAGTGTGAACTGTAAATGTGCCAATGGTAGTCCATCCTTTGTCCAGATGAGTCTCCAGGACATGTTAGAGGTATGATACTGTTGTTTGGTGAAGAAACTTATGCTTCAAATACTGTAAAATCACATAGATTCATGGGGGCCAATTTTCATGGTTTTGAGGACAAATTATTGGTCCGAGAGGACTTGATTTTGTGGTTCCTGGAATGAATGGTACATGTATGACCCACAAATTCATGTCCTTCACAAAATGTGAAATTTCAATCATCTAAGAACTCTTTCAACCACAAAATCAAATCCATGCATATAGGGGGCCAATTTTCATGGTTTTGAGGACAAATTATTGGCCTGAGAGGACTTGATTTTGTGGTTGAAAGAGTTCTTATTAGATGATTGAAATTTCACATTTTGTGAAGGACATGAATTTGTGGGTCATACATGTACCATTCATACCAGGAAACAATGAATATTAAACTCCCGTGAATATTAATGATTTCACAGTATATATGTATAAACAGTATATCTAGGCATATGTAGTGAGAAGAAGTAAGCTATAAACAGATAAAAAAAATTTTTGTTGTTATGCCTTGCCATGAATATTGCAGGGGGATATAGTATTTGTGATGTCCATCTTCCATCCTTCTGTCCATCCTTCCATAACACTTTGTGTTTAGCTCAGTTTCAAAGAACCTTTTCAAGATATTTTTATCAAACCTTCCATGCTGATACGTATTGGTGAGAGCCATTCAACTGCATCAATATTTTTTGACCTTGACTTTGACCTCACTATTCTTAAATTTGTATATAGCTTAGCTGTAAAGAAACCATTCATGATATTTTTATCAAACTTCATGTGCTGATACATTTTTGTGAGTGCTATGAACTGCATATAAAATTGACCTTGACCTTGCCTTTAACCTTGACCCCATTTTTCTTTAATTTGCATTTAGCTCAGTTTCATAGAAACTATTCAAGATATAACTTTATAAGCTGATACATATTAGTGAGAGCTTTTAGATCTTGACCTTCCTTTTGACCTTGATATTGCTCAGTTTCAAAGAAATTATTCAAGATATTTTTATGCAAACTTCATACACTGATACAAATTTTTGTGTTGCATTACTAATAAACCCTGGGTATGACAGTCATGTCCTATGGGCATATTTCTACTAGTAGTGTATTGGTAACCCCCCCCCCCCCCCCCCCCCAAAAAAAAAAACCTTGTCTTAATGTACACCATTTGTACATCTGTATATGCAAGATTGGGTTCAACATAAAGATGCAAATAGTTCCTCAATCAGTTGCAAGTTGCACATGCTTTGAAATGTGTGATCATAATACACAGTCTCAGATGCCAATCTGTACGTTTTTTGTTCAGTTAAATGTTTGGGACTTGCCTGAACATATGACAAGTCATATAGGGCCAGTGTTCCAGCTAGGATCTCAAAGTGGAGGGGTGCAAGAGAAGGGCACTTTTTCAAAACGTATCGTTTGTCTTGAGCTTTTGATACATAGGTATATCTCAAGATATGTGATTTTCAATAATAACACCATATAAACTAGCTGGTTCTCACATTATTGTGGTACATAAACTTAGAAGTTTAGAAATTGAATCTAAATTTGGCAAATGTATCAATACAGTAATTTGTAGTTCATAAGTGACATACTAGTTTGAAACTTACAATTAAAGGCCAGTATCATTCTTGCTTGTTTTTTCATACTGGTGACAGATAACTAATTAATTAAATGCCAAGAAAGTTATAAACTATATATATAATTATGAATTAATTAAATGACAAGAAAGTTATAAACTTCTGAATTCTGAAAATATAAAAATACCCCAATATTGAAATGGAACCCAGTACAGTTGTACATATCATTTGTCTTGAAATATACATTCACAAGTGTCAAAAATCATAAGTATGGAGAAAGTGATGAATATTAGTACTTGTTTCTGTGATATTTGAATTAAATTCTGATTTGAGGATGGGATGGACACCCCTCCATTTCCCCCTAGCTGGGACACTACAGGGGATGTTGGTCTGATTAGGACAGCTTTTATTATGCCCCCTTAGAAGAATATATAGGTCAGGTTCTGTTTTGAGTATGATCGAGAAATTTTTGACAGAGTTATGCCCCTTGGAATTCCAATTATTTGCAGTTTCTGTTCAATTTCTTCACAGAGGTTGCACATACTGAAATGAAATTTGGTATACAGATTTATCATAAGAATATCTAGGTCAAGTTTTGTTTTGGGTACAATCAAGGAATTTTTGACAGAGTTATGCCCCTTGGACTTAGAAAAATTCCAATTATTTGCAGTTTCCATTCATTTTCTTTGCAGAGGTTGCACATACGGAAATGAAATTAGGTATACAGAATCTTAGTCAAGTTTTGTTTTGGGTACGATCGAGCATTTTTGACAGAGTTATGTCCCATGGATTTAGAAAAATTCCAATTATTTGCAGTTTCCGTTCATTATCTATGCAAAGGTTGAACAAATTAATTACTGATATATCACGAGAAAGGTGTTTTTGCCAAAGATGTGATGTAGAAGACTATTTCTGGTTGATGCATCTCAGATAGTATTGGTAGATGACTCCTATTGATTTGAAGTTCAAAAGGTCAATTTCATTCCCATGTACACTGTCCATAATGTATACTGCCCATAATAAAGGCTTTTGCACCCTATAATGTATGTCCAAGGGGAGGGGGGGGGGGCATAAGTGTTTCACAAACATCTCTTGTTTTCATTCCTTTTCTTTATAAGCTTGCTGGTATTTCAACATAAAATCAAACAATTCAGAAATTTTGTATTAAATATGGTTTATTGTAATTTGCAGGCTCCCTGTACCTCTGATGATGAAGATTTCATTTCGGAAGAAGAAATTCAGCTGTTCAAGGCCAATCAATCTAACCTCCTACTGAAACGTCAAGAATTGCGAGAAACGTTGCGGAAACGATTTGACACGCTCCAACAGCAGAGATCACCAGACATGTCTAGTCTTGATAACGTCATGCAGAAAATGTGTAACCTCTAGAACAACAGCATTGCCATGCTACGTCTGTGATCAGCTTTAAGGCTTTCCCATATACGTTTGATTTTTATTTCTGAGTTTGTTCAGAACACATGCATTAAGAGCTATTTCAGAAAGTACTCTTTCACATTTTTTTTCTTGATTCCTACAAATTATATTGTCAGGGTTTTTCTGCTGCACAATGAAAGTGATTTTGTGCTTTTTGTAAAGCTAACATAAGAAAACTCTTTGCAAAGACTGGCCAAGCTTTTAAAACAGTGCATTACACATTTTGGAATTCATGTTCAAGCCCTGTTTTAAGATTACCATTTGCTCTCTTACTTTAAGACCTTGATCATTGTAGCACATTATTTAGGAACCTGATTTTAAAATGTCTGTTTCAAGGGGAAAACACTCTTTCTTATGGGTATATTAAGGAGTCAGTTAATTAGAATATTTTAGAAAGAAAGGGTCATTCCTAGGAATTCATGACAAAACCATTTCACAAATGTTAATTCCTTGTTTGAAGTGCTTCTTTGACATTAAGTCCAAGTCTATTGTTGAATAGTTTGGAGCCAATTCATGCATTATGTATTGGTTCAAGAGGATGGGGTTTTTATTCTGTGATAAAAACTTGGTACATGTAGATTACAATTATACAATGTAGATATTATTTATTTGAATTTATTAGTATATTTAAATAATCCATTGGATTTGAAAGTTAATGAAGAAAACAAAAATGACACATGATTGTTTTTTCTTCTCTAAGCTTCATGATACTGTAAACCAATTGTGTTGCTGATTTAAATCTATGTGTCTTGAGGTTCAGGAATTCCTTGCCAAGTTATCAAGGGTTGCTCTGAAAAACTATCAAGAGATACAGAATAATGTTGAATGTTTTCATGAAACAGTGAAACCAGTGCAGTTTTATGAGTGTTGTTTTTTTTTCTCTGACAGCAATAATTGTAATTTGTTTTTCTTGTCAATGTCATAGAGCTATATGTTAATGAAGATCAAGATGCCTAAGCTTGACAATGGAATACAAGTAAATGATGAAATATATTTATGTATCATTTATTTTTCATTGTCTGGTTTAGTTTTTTTATTTGACACTGCTGCATGGTTAGAATAAAATTTTCAAATATGAATTTTGTTCTAAACAGTTTTATTATATGGCTTGGCATATCATCGGAAGCATTCAATTTTATTGCTTTATTTCCCTGTATCATTATTGTACATGTAAGATGGAAGGGGGAAGCACAAGTTGGTTCACAGTATTGTAAAGGATATATATAATGAAGACATATGTACCTGTACTAAAAACAGCAATAAAATGGGCAATTAATGACACATACAGATGAACTGTTATACATGTATATGTTAATGTAGACAGGGCTGATGGTTGATGGAAGGAGTTGATGAAATTAACATACCTTATTATTGTAATGGTTCATTTGAACTGTGAGGTGATCATTTTGTTGAATAAACTTTTTATTTGCATATGAAATAGTTATCATTCTTTCATGACAGCGTTGCAAGGAGAAGCAAATAGCCTTAATGTGTTCATGTCTATTCTTTGTTCTCAGCAATTATAGACACAATATAAGTAGTACCAATTAACCAATCAGTCACCAAATACTACAAAGAACATTAGAAGAGAGGAAATAGCCTGTAGATAAAATCACAGACACGGTGAAAATAAACAAGGTCTTGGATATGATGTAAAGAGTCACTGTTTCACATTAGAACTTCTAGTTTAAAAACTTGCTATGGAGGAGCCAGACGTTTACTTGAGGTTTTAAACAAAAAGGGCAGCAATAGTATGAACAGTGTAGTGTACACAATGTAAAGAGAACCAATTGTTATTATAGCCTTGCTGCTGGCTACAGTGATGCTTAATGACCAGAAGAAACTGATTACTTCAGGTTAAAAGTCAAGGTCAAAGACCTTGATAGGGTTTGGCTTTAGTCAACACAATTCAAAGTTGCTACATGAGAGCTCTGTTTCTTACTTGAGAGAATCCCGATGATGCAAGAAAAAGGGCAAATGTCTATTTAAAAGTAGCAGCAGATCTGTAGCTCACTAACCTTAAAAAATTGGATAAAGGACCTCAAATTTTCAGACCAATGAGCTGCAGGTCCATGTAGGTGAATGGACAGTGATGGGTAATCTCTATATTGTGCCCATCATATTAATTTTGATAGTACATATGTAGTAATAGATTTTCATATTTTAATTGTCATGAGAGTTCAAAATTGGGTATCCTAACTTCAGGAAGGGATGTTTTGGGTTGCAATGCCCATATGTACATATTTTATGCAAATTTTCACTTTATGCTTCCTAATAGATTGATATTTTTTCCCGCTTTTGCTTTATCATGAAGTGGAAATTAATATTCACATCAATGCTACATTTAAACATTTACATATGCATTTTTTCTTTTACACTTTGCATTCAAAGGCCCTGATAGATACCATATGCCATTACATTAAAACAATGTCAAAGAAATTTAGAAAATGGAACTTTTGAGATTGAATCAATAAAAGTAAATAGGCTGTAATGGATATTTTGCATTTACTGTCAAGATGGAGAGAGATGCCAGATCATTCAGTTGTTGAGTTTTGCAAGTGCAAATTAAATTTTCTCTAATGTAAATAAAACCATGAGCCTGAATAAATCTGGGTGCCAGATAGTTCTCCATTTCTCATGATCTCCTTTGCCACATATTAATATATCATTGAACACAGGCTTTGGGCTTATAAAACATAGATGAGCACGCTTTTGATATCAGTCTCACTTTTCCACTATTTATTTCTTTTGTAAAAGTGAGACTAAGATCAATTGTGAGCTTGTATAGGTTTTATGGCCCTGGAGCCAAGTTCAAGGGAAGCAAATGGAAAGGACAAAATTGGCATTAAGATGGAGAAGCATTCAGTCATTCCTTATAGGGGCATTAAGTTCAATTATATATGTAATTTCAATATACTGCAGAATTCTCAACACCTGACAGCATATCAGCTGCAAGTTTTTCTTCCACCAGAGATCCTTTGAAAATGTAACCTATTAAGAATGGAACTCACACAGTGTCAGCTGTTGGAATAAACTAGACAAAGCATACAGAATATATTTATCAATTTTAATCTCACAGCACAAAAAAAAAAGATTCTAAACAATAATGAATGTCTAAATAAAATCTAATTTCCTGTAACACTGTTTTTATAGTTTTATGTATATAGCCCATGAATGATTGTTTGAATTCTTTGTCAACATTGTAGAACCTTAAAACGTGAAAACCATTTTATGCACAAATGGAGAAAGCTAGAGTAAATGCATGAAAATTTGATCATTGTAAAAATTATGCTTGGGAATAATGAGATTCAATATGGTTCTACATTCAAGATGGTACATGTGTTTTTAATTTGGTGTTGAATTGTTGCAAAAAAATGTAACAAACTACATATTACATTTTGCATAGTATGATTGTAATACTAGAACACTTTTATACAACTGCTAAAGGGATATTTGTTTACATGGTCTTACTTACGTTGTAATGGAGATTCTAGGTCATGTGACCGATTCTCAAAGATACAACATGATCTTGAAATCTTACACATTTATCACACAATGGGCTATCAATGACTTATATTGTATTTTCGAATTTTTGTAATTTTTTATATTACCCTTAATGTAAATCAATGGTCATTAACAAACATTCTGAAAATTTTTGTTGACATATTTACTGCAAGTCTGCCTCTTCTAGCTTAACAAGAACTAGAAAAACCAGGCATGCACTCATTTCCAATTAAAGCCAAGATTTACAAACAGGGCAATAAAACAAGACAAACATGTCTTGCTAAAAACAGCGCTACACTAAAACTAATGTACACAAATTAAACTTTACATGTATGTAAAACTATTTTATATCCTATCTTGACACTAAATATTCAACATAACAATATTTTGTCTTGATTGTCACTCAAAAACAACATCTTACAATAAATATGAAAAAAAGTTTATACAAAATTACTGAGTCTCTCAATAAAAAGAATTTCATTGTTAACTAAAGGGTTGTCCTTAAGAATTGAAATAGCAAGGTACATTAAAAATTTTAAGGGGATCTGGGGTTGTGTAAAAAGGAGTTGGGGGGAATACCAGAATAACCAGGGAGTCATTATAGGCAGGGAAATTTCCCAGCCCCAGGGTCCTAGGGACAACCCTGTAACTAGTATCATAATTCAATAAAATATAACGATATAAAGAAATTCACACATTGGTGACAAAAATAACTTAAAGCTGCAAAAATGTTAAGATCTTGGTATTAGGAGGTTTAATGAGTGATTAAACTGGGTGAGATTTTTTTTAAACGTGTTGTTCTTTGTGTGTCATCAGATCATCACGATCCCCATCACCATGGAGACTAATATCACTGTTGTCTGTTCTGTTTGCATCCTCTACTTCCAATATGGTGTCAGGCAGCTTGGTTGCCATGGTTTCTGGCAGCAGCAACAAAAGAATACTGGCAACAAGGGTGATAACTCCAATTATGATTACAGAGATAGACTTGTGGCTGAGATCACCCTAAAATGAAGAAGCATCAATCATGTGAAAAATACTTCTACTGAATAATTGTAATAAAAAAATTTCTTTTTTACAATTTTGAAATTTAAAAATCCATTATATCTCTAGTTCAATGGTATTTAATCACTCTCAGTCCTGTGATAAAAAAAAACCCAACGTGTAACTGTGTATACTAGTTTATATACATGTACTAGTTGCCCACCAAATGCAAGTATATGTATTATAGAATTTGACTCTTAATGTCATTATTTGTGATACAGTTCTCAATCTCTATTGGTCCCCTTACCAGGGCTAGGATCTGTGGTGCTACCACTCCCCCAAGTCTGGCCCAGAATGCACAGCTCCCCATTCCAATGTTTCTAGTAAATAAAAAAAATGTCTATAAAATGCTACATCTAAATCATAATACTCAAACTTGGTGCACAAGAAAATTCTTGATGACACACAAGCAATATCATGAAAATTCTCTTATGTGTTTGTTCCAAGTTTAGTAAATAGAAGCAGCAAATTGCTAGTCTACACATTGAAATTCTTACATGACAGAAAATCCATGTATATTTGATCTTTTACTGCCCTTTGCAGATCAAATTTAAGGGGGGGGGGGGATAATTAATTAATTTTCAAATGTTCAGTCTTAGTAATCTTATGTACAATGAACCTCTATAGAGGGTTTTTCCCAATTATGGATACATGTAATTTAAAATAAGATTCCTAGAAAATTACATGAATTTCTTTACAACAATTTACTTTTTAAAACTGTTGCTTTGGAACTGAATTAGAATATCATGAAAATTTTTAAACAATGACTCAAAGATTTTTTGCCCATGTCCCAAAACAGAAAGATGTTGAGTCACGGTCAGTTAGGATTTAATGTCAAAATCAAATGCATCTAATTTTTGTCAGGATCATATCTTTGTAATGTA